GGGGGAGGGGCAGAGAGAGAGGGAGACACAGAATCCAAAGCAGGCTCCAGGCTCTGAGCTGTCAGCACAGAGCCCGGACGCGGGGCTCGAACTCACGAGGTGAGATCATGACTGGAGCCGAAGTCAGATACTTAACCGACTGAGCCACCCAGGCGCCCCTCTAAGTACCATTTTAAATACCGTCAGATACGCTTAAGTATCATAGGGATAAGAAAATTAGGGTGTTTGCACTTGTCCCCAGGACTTTTATAAACACGACTTGAATGGGCTAATATAATCCTAAAAATAAAAACAAAACGGTTATTTGAAAGCGGGTTTATTCAGAAGCAGCAGAGCGTTGCAGCTTGGGACACGCAGACAATGGCAGAACCACAGCTGGTCCCACGAAGGAGAGGAATGTAATTCTTTGGAGGAGGGAGAAGTTGGGAGGGGTTGTTCTGAACAAAAACCCATTGGGGAAAAAAGCGTCCGTTTGGGGGGGATGACAGTTTCTCACTGGCTGAGTTGCTGGGGGCGGTCGGTCGCGGCTTCTAGGATGCAGACTCCCTCTTTCCCTCTGGGGGCCTGTAATTGATGACTCTTCCCTGTCGGGGATTCTGTTGGGGCCTGTAACTGACACCCGGGGGTCTGTCATTGACTTTTGGGGGGGGGGGTCCTCCCTCGACTAGCCGCTGACTCTGCTTTAGCGACATGGCCCGTGACTGTTGACAAACGCTTGCGGCTGAGTTTTCAACACACGCCCCATTTCCGGAACGAACTCCCTATAGTCAGCCGGCTACGGTGGGGCCGGCTTTGTTCTGTCCGCTAAACCGATGCTCAGCCCGGGTGACCCGTGGCCGAAGCGGCTTTACAGTTGGCCGATTATCTCAGGGCCCCAACCGGCCACCACCCTGCGTGAACGCACCTAGCACAGTTTTCCGAAAGAGCTATTGTCGGACAACAGGTAGGAAGCCGTTTCAGGCTCTCGACCCCCAAACGGGCTTCCCGGCGGGGAAGTTTTCTACGTGCGGTTTGAAGCCGGCTGTCTGGCTACGTTCGCGGGCAGCGAGTTCTGCTTTGGCTGTGCTGAGATTGGAGAGGACATCCGGTTGTGGGGCCGGTGGCGGGGAGGGGAGCCCCGGGGGAGCGGCTCCAGGGCCCGGGAGGCCGGGTGGAAGGAGCAAGGGTTTCTCCACAAGGCGAAGGGCAGCAGGGGGGCAGAAGGAACAGAGCAGGGAGAGGGCGTCCCCGCTCCGGGGTCTGCACCCGGCCCCCCCCGCAGCTTCCTCTGCGGGTTTCGTGGGTGCCGGCTAGGCCGGGGGAGGGCGGGGCCTCCGCTAGGCGCAGGTCGCGAGGTCTCAGGGGCAGGAGCAGGGGGCAGTGCCTGGCCGCCTGCCCTGCGAGCTCGCCTCTCACCTCCGCCGTCCTCCCCACAGCTCGGAACTGGCTTCAGTGACGAGGAGCTAGAGGACCATTTCCAGAGCCTCCAGGTGGGCAGCGCGGCCTCCTCTCTTCTCCCTGAACCCTCTGGGTGGGGGCGGGGCGCTGGGAGGGGGGCATAGGGCGGTGGAGCTGGCTTGGGAGTCCCTCGTGTCCAGGTTCGAGTCCCAGCTCGGCCGGCCGACGGGATGGGGCTTGGGGTCTCCACCACCTTCCCCGCTCCTGCCCCCGCTGATGGGGGATGAGCCGCGGGGCAGGCGCTACCGCAGGGGTGCCCGAGTTGGCCCTGAGCGGATCCCCGCGGGGCCGGGTAAGCCCCTGGTAATGTAATTGGGACTGTTTGTTGTCATGGTCACAGGCATCTTGGGGTAGACTCCCTTTCCGGTGTGCTGGTGTCTCTGCCTCTGTGACATTCTCGCTTCTCTCTCTCTCTGGGTCTCTGTCCCTGTCTTTGCGCCTTTTATCTTTAATGTCTTTTAAAAAAAAATTTTTTTTTTAATGTTTATTTATTTTTGAGA